GGGTGATTTCCTTGACCATCCTCTATTTCTTTCCACCCAAGTTTTAGTTCAGTGTCAGCCCTAAAGCTGATCCTCCACTTGCAGGAGTCAATGTGGGTTGCTTCCTTGGCCTGAGAGATTTTTGGATCTGGCTCAGGAATTCAAGTAATGGGACACAAAAGACAAGACGAGTCAGGCAACGGAGCGCCGTCCTAACCACCCTCCCAAAAGGTTATTTATTGGTGTGTGCAGATAGGATCTTTGCAAGCAGACACAGAGAGGGAGAACCAGAGATGTGCACTGTGCTGGGAAAGATGAAAAGGACATTAAAAAGTGAGAGCGAGTGTTATTTTGTATAAGCCCTGTCTCCCTGTATCAGAACTTCTGACCTGGCCAACTGTCTCCTCTATCATTCCCCCTTTCCCCCTCACCTAGTCTCCAGCCTCCTAACATTACTCTGCCGCTGGTGATGGCAGCAGCATTATTTAGTTTTCCCTCCTCTCGGTGTTTAAAGTTCCCTGGGTGATTTATCATAGTATTTATAAACGAAGGGTTAAACTTACTCTCTTTCGGTTTAAGTTGTATGATTCTCCTTCTGGCAAGCTCTCGCTTAACTCTGGCTCAAACAGGCCAAATATGGTGTTTTTGTGCGTGTCGAGGGCTTTGCCCTATACGTGGTAGTGTTCCTTCTGAGTGCTTCACACGCAGCATGGAGAGGATGGGTTTGCTGCGGAGGAATTGAGGGAGAAAGGGAGAGAAAGGGAGTGAATCCAGCTGCTGAAAGGGGAGAGCTAGTTTCCTTCTAGCCCCCAGGCTCTGAGAAAGGAGTTAATGTCCTGCTGAGAAGGATCTCACACCAAGGTGGAAAGTACCTTGTTAATGAGCAAAGGGTACCCTTGGATTTAGCACCCATTTTTCTGCAGGGATTTTAGGGTCTTGGCTGCAGAGGGATGCCCTGTGGGCTTGTCAGAAGCCCTGAATTCCCACTGATCTCTGTGTCGGGAGCCTTGTCCCTCTGCAAAATCCCAAACAACCCTATTTTGCATCTGTAGGTGCCTCAGCTAAACCCAGCGTACCCTTCTTTTTCCTAACCTAATTACTTTTTCCCATGTAGACTCTCTGGTGCCTTAATGAGAACTTATGCTCCAGCTCTTCCCTTGGCTTGGACACTTGTTAGGCTCTCTCCTCTCTTTACAGCCTATTTTCTTGAAAGCTGAGGTGATCTTTCCCCTTGGCCAAACTTTGGGTAAAATTAGCCAGTATGTTGAAAAGCATTAGGAAGTCAGAAGAAAGCACAGCTGACAAATATGCAAACATGCACTAAACATGACCAGATAATCCTTGTTTCCTCAAATACGAAATCGCAGGAAGTTTACTAGCACTCTTCACCACATATCATCTGATTTAGGTTTTCATCCCTGCACACTCTCAATTGCTTTGGCAGTAAAACACTGTAAACAGGGCTGAGTAGTTTCTTAGCAGGAAAAAAAAACATTTGCTGCCTCCTCCTTTCTTTTTATTTGACTACACTGAAATAATTTCAGATTGACACCAAATATCTTCCTTAAGGCAGAACCAGCCTGACTAAGGATAGATCTTAACTGACTGCCTGGTGTCTGCACTGTTCATCTACGACTTGCTTCTCTACATGCAATGGAGAGCATGATGGACAGCAGGTCCTACCCTGGTCTCACATTTAAATAGCCACGTACCGAATTACTGCCAGAGAACTTTTGGTTGGAGCTGAGAAGGTCTGAATTCCCTTTGCACGACACCAAGAGAGATGAAGAACCTCCTACTGACTTCTGCAGCTCTACTGTTGTCCTTGAGAATTGAGAATTCTCTTTGATCAGGTTTAAGAACTTGGATGTCTAGTCCCTGGCATGGCCAGAAGCTGTGTAAACCATCACAGCCTAAGGGTGTGCAGAAGCTAACACGATGTCAGTTTTTGGTTGCTGCCCTGCTATGCCATGGAGCCATTTGCCTCCTGTCTGAAGTGTCTGAGTAGTCTGTGCTTTACCCTGCATCTCTAAGGCCCTGCGCTGGATGGGATATGGAGGCTGCTCTGAGTTTTGATTTAATTTCCATCTTTTTTTTTTTTTTTCAAGGGATTCCCAAACACTGTGTTCAGTGTTGCATGTGCACATGGTAGACCTGACATCCCCAGTAAGTCTAAGGCCCAAATCAGGTCCTCTGTGAGTGAGGGACCTGGCTGAGGCCAGGACGGTCAGGTTGCAAAAGCCTGGGGGTGACTGAGTGACAATTTAGACCAGCAGATCATCCAAGGCCCTGAGGGATCATTGACAGTTATCAGAGAGAGAACACAACTCTCTGAAATGCATTTATGAAGCAAAATGACCCAAATGAGAGGGAGACAACACAACCTGGCCCAGTGTGTAGGTTTGAACATACTGGTTGACAACAGCCAAGGCATCACCAGTCCCGGACATGCTAGACAACTACTTAACATCCAAAAAGACGTGCGTGGTCCACCACCCAACCACCCTGTCCTGAACGTGCGCAGAAAATATGGAAAGAAGCACCCAAAGATACACAGAGAAGGAAATTCATTTGCTGGCAAATCTCTTAAGGGTTTATACTTTCTCTCTGCTCATTTTGACAGTAATGCTTCAGCCCTTAAAAGAAGGAGCCCAGCTGTGTGCGCTGGCTTAAGTGAACAAAGACGCAGACTTGTGCACACAAGCTGCAGCCTCCTGGCTGGCCTCTCCAGGCTCATGCACATGCACGTGGCAGTTGCAGGGGAACCATGGACCTTTTACAGGTCTGTGATAAGGCAGGATTATACAGGTCCCCTTATAAGTGCCTCCACACACTTGTTTATAGCACGTTTTATAGAAAAAGTCCCTCCTGAAATGCCTTATTGATACCACTGCATTTTTCATATCCCTCCTCCCTGTGTTACCAGATCTTGGCCTTGGAATGACAGAAATATTAAGTGCCTTGGTGAATGCTCCATAAATCATGCTGTTAGCGTTTTAAAGTCCAACATCTCATAGCCTGCCAGGGCTAGTACCAAGTACCATCTGTCATGAAGAAGAATGGAATGACATCTTTGCAACAGACACTCTTTCTAACTCTGAAAAAAAGAAATCAGAGCATGACTTCCCTCTCTGTTCTCTGTGGACCTATAGAATGTTAGAGGAAAGTGCCTCTTTGGGGTGAAAAATATATTTTTCCAACAGATTTTAAAATTATTTTTAGGCTAGATGTGGAAAGAAACTCATGGATTTGGAGTTGTATAAGTATAGTCAGTAGAGATGGAGTTATGTCTGTCTTCTTGGGAGGTAGCAACATTACCAGAGAAATGAATTTAATTGTATTGGAATTACACTAATCCCTCTAGCAGCCCTAGGATACTTAGGGCACAGTGCTGGAAATGCCAGTTTGGATGAAAACGTATCACGACTGTGTACATAAGGAGATCCTCAAAGTGAGAATTGCCATATAGGCACATATAAGAGCTTCACAGACCAAAAAAAAAACATTGTGAGGGATTTAACTGACTGACATCTGGCTGATGTGTTGCTGCTGGCTTCTGAAAGGGGAAATTTTTAATTGCAAATCTTTGAGCAATTTTCCCTCTTTCTGCTTTCAGCTGCCTGTTTGCATTATCCCTTGATGACAGCCCGGAGTAGGACGGTGGGAGAAGAACAACAGGAGAGGTTTGTATTTGGGGAGTGCTTTGCGTTGGAGGTTTGCATCTGGGGAATACATTGGGTCCTGAATGACCCAAGGATGCAGGACAGAAGAGGGAAGCCTCCCTTTGCAAGGAGCACAAGGAAAAGAGAGCGATCAGCATGCAGGTAGGGAGGAGATGGAGGGGAGAAGCAAGGGAAGAAGAGTCAGGTGCCCTCCCACTTGCCAGGGGTGCAACTCTCTGCAGCACACTGCATGCTTCAAATCGTGCTGTGGAGGAAACGGAGGCCTGGAACCAGGCACTGGATCAGCAAGGTGGAAGACATCCTCAAGCACCAGACACTTCCTTTCTCCTAAAGCAAATCCCTGCACCCTGAGGGGAGCCTCTGTTCTCCCCTGGGTTGGTTTCAAGGTGTCCCCAAGATAAATTGCCAGATCTTTAGGCGACTGGTTTCTGTTATTATCTTTGCTGGGTGCGTGTGACGCACTCTGCTGTGCAGAGACCACCCTGCTAGTCCCTTAAGGGGTTTGCAAGTTTTGGGTAGACTGGGTCAACCTGGAGAAAAGTTGAGCTGTTTGGTGCAGTGCCAAGAAAACAGTGAGTGTTTCTGAAGGGAATAAAACAAGCCCCACTTAAGGATCTTGGAAAGAATCTGTTTCTCTTTGGGCTGATCTAGCAAACTGATTCAGAGAAAGAAAATATCATCTTCCTTAGCTAAACTCGCAGCCTGCAGCACGGCTGAATAGAAATGTCCCCAACCCTGGCTGGTCCCACGCCAGGCACACGTCTGAGGAGCAGTGCTCTATTTTCTCTCCTGACTTCCAAAACCTGCCTGAATCATTTCCCCAAGATTTTGTTACACTTGAGATACAAGTAAGGCATCATTCATCACACAAGCTGACGCAGTCCTTTTCACAGCCATTTCTTACACCTTTTCCCCCTCCCTCATTTCCTCGGACAACAGGCAAATATCACAGCATTGACCAGACACTAAGTGCAGAGAAGCTCGTGCTGGGAAAGCCCCCTTGCAGCCAGGAGCGACTGCTGGTGCAGCCTGGCTCTCTGGGGACAGGTCGCTCCTGATGAGCTTCTGCATCTGCTGCAAAGGCAGAGTTGGGGCTTGCCAAGGTCTTCTTCCACATCTTGTGTGCAGGGCCCTCTCCACCTCACCTGTGGGACCTCACAGCCCCATAGACTCCCGGCCATGATAGCCAGATGTTGAGTTTGGTCTCCGATGGTTCCCTCCTGGCCCCCTGCTCCCACCTTTCCGATGCTGTGCCCACCCCTTTCTCTCTGACCAATAACCCCAAGCGTTGGCTGCAACGGTCCCTGCAGCATATTCCTTCCCAGCGGATTGACTTACCTCTGGCCTGATCTGCCTTCTATGTAAGAGGAGCTGCCGTTAAGAAAATTTCCTCATGGACCTGAATGTTATCGCCCCAGGAAAGAGACATCTGTTCCTACAAGCAGAACAACTGGAGTGACTACAGAATATGAAGAAATGCCTAATCTTTCCCTCCCTCTCTCTCTCCCCCTCTCTTCTAAATATAGCCTTGCAACTAATGGGAAAAAATACACACAACCAAAAAAAAAAATTTCCACTTGTCTTCAGTGTTCAGAATTTCTCCCCAAACATCTGGCTCCTTGCCCTAAGTCTCTCCGAAATTTACGAAGTGTTGGAAATGCTAGAGATCCAGCCTTCCTCACGGTGCTAATGCCTGAACATTGTTAGCAAGCTAAAACCGATGTTGGTGACCCCTTTCATCCCCTCCTCGTGTCAACTTCCCCGTGTCTCTGCAGAATAAGATCTATTTAAGCCATGGCCTTAAGTGGCTGAGCATATATGAGATGAGAGTGGAAATGAGGTTCCACCAAGAGCCCGCCAACAACTTGCCACATTTATCCATCCTCACGCAGCCCTTATCTACTGGTGGCACCATTATTATGGGTATCGGGATCATGTCAAAGCTGGTGAGCAAACAGGTAATCCTGCAAACTCCCAGCTCATGATGGGAGACTCCCTGGTCTAAACTGGTAGCAACACATGCCATTTTTTTTGTGGAGTGTGGAGAAAAAAAGGACATGCACAGGTGTTATTTCCATGTGGGAATATAGTAGCTGTCCCTTCAGAAGTCCCTTCTGAGAAAATAATCAGAAAAAAAATTAAGTGAGAAGCTTCATCAAATATAGTTATTTAGAAGGATAGGAAGGATAGATATTAGATTTCAGTGTCAGTCCTGGACTGTTCTTTTCCCATATCCTTTAGATAAAGACAACGCCAGTGCCAGTGCAATAAACACGCAGGATATGGCTCGTCACAACATCACAGGATCAACTGAGAGGCATTGAATTCCAGGTCAAGGGGCCAAATCCATAAATAGAGGAGAGGTAAACTCCACACATGCATGTCTCACCAGAGCACAAACAGTAGCTATGGATATGAGAGAAGGTTGACCTCATTTTCTGGAATTAGCTTTTCACCCTTGGATCTTTACCAGGAAGGCTGAGCTGATTTTTCTGTTGTGTTATTTTATTGATTTTCTGTTTTGAGTTTCATCACAGTGAGGGGCAGATTCTTCCCCCAATTTCAGGAACATCCTCCTTGACTTCACATGCTCCTGATCCAGACTTTCACAACTGACCTCCAGCTCAAGCACGTGTCTGGGCTCTCATATACTTTTCACTTCCTTACAGCTTGGAAAGCAAGTGTGATTGGAAGGCCTCCACGAGCTCCCTCTGGCTAATACAGTTGCCTTCACTTCCTTCCACGCTGGGAGTTAAATGGGAGGAAGAACAAAAGAGAAGAAACCAACTTAGCATCCAGTGCTGGGTCAGGGGACTGAATCTAGATGCTGTCTTTCATGTTGCCTATGGAAGCAAACACTTGAGTTCCCCCAGGCTGTCACCAAAACTTTTATGTTTATGGAATAAATATTCAGGGGAGGAAGTCTCTGGAGTTACAAATGCAAGACTGAAAAAGGAGGAGACTTTTTTTTTACAGAACAAGATATTGGTACCTACACTCTGTTCACCTGACCTGGGACTTCCTGGCCCTTGCAACGGCTTGTTTTTGTGCTTTTGCGTGATACATGGCAGCTTTGTTCTCTTCTCTTGTGCACAGGATAACGAGTGCTTTGCACTCCCCCGCTATCCCAGCCTCTCCCTCCTTGCCGAATTTAGTGGCAACAGCTGCAAAGTTTCAAGTTGTGCCTGAGATAGTGCAGAGCATGCCATATTGGGAAGCAGATGGAGAAGGCACATCCGGGCTCTGGGACATGCTTTGTCCCAGACCCAGTTCCCACAGTTGACTTCAGGAGGAGTTGCAACTGTAGCTGATGAATGAAGCACTTCTATTGTCTTTTGATTTTCAGACAGAAAGACAGGGAGGGAAAAAAAGGGAAGCTTTAGTAAGTGGAAAATTCTCAAGCCTGTTGTCTGCATGTTCTACAACGTTTAGTGTTGCAATGGATGTCTTGAGGCTGTAAGTGGAAGAAGGTTCTGGCTCCTAGCAGTCCCTTAACTGCTTCATGTAAACTAAGAATGGAACAGGACTCTGTTTAAGTAAGTGTTGTAGAGCAGCAAAGCAAGAAGCTGGGCAATTCTGGAGAAGGTGGGCAAAAGGGTGATGGGGATTGCCCCAGCAGAGTGAACACTGTCAATATGGGCTCAAGACGCATGGCCTTATCAGTTTTCAGGACATATCTGTTGTCCAGTTCTGTGAGGACCCAAATCATCAAAAGTGAGTGGATGTTCTCTGCTCCCTGCATGTGAGTAAACTATTTACCATGGTACAGAGACTAAATGGCATGGGGGAGGACTAATATCCATTTTACTCTCTCCAACTCCTCCTTTCCTGCACTAGATCTGCCCTGGATGATCCCTAGACCTCAGGAGTGTTCATAAACCCTGGAAAATGCTTGTATATGTCTCTGACATGCACTGCCCATGATGCCTAATTTTTTGGTTCTCTCCAGAATCCGGGGCCATCGTTGGATGCTGTGAATCAAGCACCAAGCTCCTGCCTGATGCACTAAAGCACCTGCCTTAATTTTCCCTGCTCCAGCAATGGGAGAGAAGCAGGTATGTGGCTGAAGACACTTGCAGCTATTCTGAGTTATTGGAGCTGAAAAAAAAAAGCCAGGGAGAACCCTTGGCTCCTCATCCTACATCCAGCTCTGACTCTGCTCGTGCTCTGGGGGTTCTCCCTGCTAGTGAGGCCTTGGGGACAGAGATGACAGACAGCTCAAGGGATGGATTTACCTCAGTGAGCTCTATTTACTCTAGCAAAGTCAAAATTGGACCCTGGAGAGATGCCAACACTGAGACAAGTGCAGCACACAGTGTCCAAGAGAGATGCCAGGGTGGACACAGCAGGGTGTGCAGAGAAAAAAAGTAGTTCACAGGGGATCTGGGCTTGTGGTTGCTCCTTGGTAGCATTCACGTCACTCACCCCTGCTCTATCACTGGTGCATGAAGAGAAATCACATTCCCCTTTGGCAGGTCCTGACTCATAACGAGATGGTGCTGGAGTCTCTCTGCTCAGTCACATCGCCTGCATGGGAACCATTGGCCACGGCACCAGGATCAGGATGTGCCCTGCTATGCAGCTATCTCTGGGAAATGGATCCTGCCAGATGTGCTGGGACTTGCTATGCAGTGCGCTCCAGCTTATATTTTGCATCCCTGCTCTGCTCCTCTCTCACCCCAGGCTCTGTGAAAACTGTAGTGAGGAAACGGGTAGATTCAGAAAGCAGATCTGGGATTTGTCTGGGTCTCTTATTAGAGCCCATGGAAAGCCCTCCTCTCTCACCCCAGGCTCTGTGAAAGCTGTAGTGAGGAAATGGGTAGATTCAGAAAGCAGGTCTGGGATTTGTCTGGGTGTCTTATTAGAGCCCATGGAAAGCTCTGCTGAAAAAACCACTGAAGTTTTGGGCTGACACCTGGATCCAAGATAGCCACTAAGTCAGCTTTGAGCTCATGGCATTTGCTCCTTTGGATCTGAGCAGAGAGAGATGTAGCTTTTGTTGCTGGGCTGTTGAAAGCTCCTTTGCTGTTCTCCAACATGATGATCCAGGTATGCCACATTGGGCCAGCCAGAAAAGGGAGATCTTTGTAATCCTTTGGGATCTGAACCCTGAAGAACTAATTCCTGAAGGCTGTTTCTAAGGTGGCTATTTCTAAGTTTAAGGGGCTGTAGAGAAGGACCAGAGACATTTTTACCGAGCTCTAGACAAAACCTGTGGGGAAGAGACAAACTTTGTCCCCCAGAACTAATGGCAGGATGTGATGCTGGGGCAGAAACAGAAAAGGGGCAAGGGAGCATGAGCATCTATTGCCCAAATAATGAGGACTTGGATCACTCTCTTGTGGTCATATTCAGCATTTCCAGGGTCAATTGTCTGGCTCCCAACATGGGCAGCAGAGGCAGTTTCCAACCATAAAAAATGATCCAACTGCCTCTGTAATCCCAACTCAGGAGCACTCAAAGGCAGCTCTATCTACCTAACATAACTGGCTGAGCAGAGTAGTTGGCTTTATAAAGACACTGCTCTGAAACCACAGCCAGTTCCCAGAGCCTGCTGGGCTGCCAGTCACCATCCTCAAAGGACTGCAAAGGCCAGAGGGACCATTAGTGCATGGCCCTGTCTCTGAACAAGCTCCCTATTTGTGTGTTTACACAAGGAGAGAGTTCAGACAGTTGCCATATGGTGGCTCCTGCTGATGGGATCCAGCTGTGGTTTGTCTGTTTGATGAGGGACAGCGAAAGACAAGTAGTTCCCAAATGACAGTCATGGCTCCCGTTGGGTGAGTCAGGCATGGGGGAGAAAGTGTGTGAGAGCCAGTTTCCTTCTTATCTGCCTACCAGATTTTTGGGAAGCTTCTCTTCTGATCATTGCCTTCCCATGCCTTTCTCTCCCCAGACCATGGCATTTTTGGTGGTGGATCTACTGAATTCAAAAAGAGGAAGATGTCTGCAGAGCAGAAAGAGCATGCTGGTCCGCTAAGCCACCCCAGAATCTTTATTGGATAACTGATTTGGAGTACACTTGATGCTGGCTGTATCCAGTTCTTGCATGATCAGGAGTGTAAAGCTGGGCATGCCCTGTTCTCTTATAAATGTACTCTATGGGGATGAGTTTGAATCCTTCTTTGCTGTCTAGTCTGCCCAGATCACCACCACTCTTAAACCAGTGATGTTTCTAACGTGTTTCCTTGGTCAACACACCAACAAAGTGATCTGGAGACACCCTTTGGGCACCCAACGTGGCCTATTGTGTCTCCACTACCCCTTGTGATCCAGCCCCCACTGGGGTTGCACATAGGATCTCACTCCAACTTTTTCATCCCCCCAACAGCTCTGGCCAGCAGCCACTTCTTTTCTCGCTATTTTTTTTGAGTCTCAGGAGCTAATTGCCAAGAACACAATGTCCAGTGTCACAA